TTACCCTTTAATGTTAGCGCCGGAAAAGTCTCAATATTCAAATAAGTACACAAGTAAACATAGATATGAACCTTCACATATTCAGTGTAACTACTCAAATATAAAATTTAGACGCAGTAGGAGAGTTCACATAGTATACATGTCTACACAACAGATGTTCCCTTTCATGGCGTGAGAGCTCAAAAACTTCAAGTAGAAGAAACTTGTGAATTATTTCTTTTTCGCCGCATTCTAAGTACAACTGTCATTTTCGCAGAAACAAGTGATGTATATACGTAAGAACACAGTCATTATGTAACCTAGTGCACCTGTATATAATTAAGTATTTTAACGAACATTTTTGTCTGATTTATAATCTTTGGTATATATCTTATTCTTTCAAGAATTGAACTCATGCGCACGCAGCGATGTTAGGGAAATTTTCTGTTTCCAATGGGCCCAAGTTTTTTTTTTTTTTTTTTTTTGGCGAAAGCCTTATGGTTGCCTCATCAAACATGGGTTGTGACTGTTGGCGTACACACGAGTGGTCGAAAAAAAATTATATTATCACATATCATCCTGAGACGTCATCGTGGCGTGACATATCAAAACATATGTGATGTCTAAACATCACATTATGACGTCATTACGTGTCATCGGGGCTTGGTCGTAGTGAGATTGATCCCTGTGGCACTTGAAACGTACAAAACTAATAATGCATCCGACAAAGGCAGGGAGTACAAAACTGATTGATTGATTGATTGATATGTGGGGTTTAACGTCCCAAAACCACCATATGATTATGTGAGACGCCGTAGTGGAGGGCTCCGGAAGTTTCAACCACCTGGGGGGGGGGGGGGGTAGAAAACTACTCTAGGCACATAAAGCTTTCGATACAATTGAGTGACAAGATGAAAATGAATCAGGCGAATACAGAAGAGACTATGTAAGCTTTTGCTGATGGCCGTGTTTTTGAACTTTGTCGTTTTTCCAAAAGTTTTTTTTCCGGGCAGCGTCGTAACATTTTTCTCGTTGTTGCTAGTGAGAGAACGAGGATGCCGAAGCCGACCGCTATAGTTTCACCAGGGCTGTGTGGATAGTAGGAATATGGTTAATAAACAAGGACTCCATAAAAACTTCCCGGTCGAACAAAGGGCGCCTTGAAGTACTTGGCATCCATCCCAGACATGAAGATGGAGCTGTGAGACGGCCAAGCTGCTTCACATCAAGCGACAGTGATTGAACACTGTTGATAGTTCTCTTTCCGTAGGCCACAGACGGATCACTTGGCAACCATGGACGCCTTGTGGCTGACTGCAGCCCGGATACTTCACTTAGGTTTCTCAACTTCCTTGCTGAGTCACCAGATACGTTATTCTCAACCATAAGTTTCCTTCCTATTATAGAGCCGCCTCCGTTGTTGTGGTGCCAGGCTGCTCGCTTTAGAGACCCGTGTTCGATCCCGGTCGCCTCGGTTGCATTTTGACGCATGCGCGGTGCTTGAGAAACGAGTATTGTGCGATGTCAGTGGCCGGCTAAAAACGCACAATTGTCGAAATTATCCAGAATTCTCGACTTCTGCGTCTCCATAGTTTTAGTCGTTATGGAATCCTGAGTTAAGCAACTAACTAGCTTTAAAGGGCTATTAACTGCGTTTTGAAACACGGACAGAAGACAAGGGAAATACAGGACGCGCGCAGACTCACAACTGAACGTTTAATGGTTGAAGGATGACACATATACAATGAAAATCGGCTGAATCAAGTTCATTGGACAACGATACGTCTACTTCATGTTGAATATAGGTCAAGCTTTGCCCCGTGCCTGCTCCGTGGTTCATGAATTGTCCTTTTATTGTGCACGAATGTAAGTACATGGAGCAAAAGAATATGTGTGTGTCTGAGCACCGCAAGAACTGTAGAATAGGTAGCAACCACATTTGTGAACCACTTGTAAACAAAACCAAGATCTTGTATCGTCACAGGAGCCGCTGCACCCGAGAGCTGTTCGCAGCATCAATACTACACGCGGATGCGTAAGTGAACCTTCAGTGTCCCTTGCTGATTGTGAGATGAAAATTTTAGATGCCACTTTGCGACGTAAGGATACCATTGTCCAAGGAACTTGATTCATCAGATGTTCAAAACTTCAGTTCTGAGTATGCGCGTGTCCTGCCTCCCCTAGTCTTTGTGCACATTGAGTAAAGCAGTTAATAGTCCTTTAAAATGAATGTAAGCCAACTAGCCCGACTTCGTGCCTTATTATAATTAGGGGGCCTATGTCACATGGTCGCTTTTGATTGCGATCGAGTCTGATATGGATCGAATATCTTTATCGTGGATGACTGCTGCTTGTGGCAGCGGTGTTGCAACAAGCCGGGTTAGCGTGACCTAAATGGCTGGCAATTGTTCCCCCTGAGTATCTCCTAAATAAGAGCGGTTCGTCACCAAATTTCATGAAGTCTAGTGTCTCGCAGGAAAGGCACTAGAATACGTTGCACGCTCCTTCTCGTTGCTGTGGGCCCTTAAGAAAAAATCACATCATCTACTGTCAGATAATATGTTTCCGGATAGTACAAGAGCCAGATAATATGTTCAGTGTCACCGATATCACCACAGAAGACGCAAAACGGCGAAGCTTCTTGCCCACTCTTGAAAGACCAAGCCGGTGTGTATGCGGAATCAGTCCTTATTCAGTAAAGAAGCATGGCTTGTTCTCTAGAAACTCCTTGGATTACGCACAAGTGATGTGGAAACCTGTGGATCGCCCTAAAGTGGCTGCGTATTACACCCTTGTTGTTCTGGTAAGTTTTATAAGCTCGTATTCGCTGCACATTCCCTCTCGAAACGCGGGCGCATCCAGATAAAATGTTTATTTTGGCCGATATCTGCACAAAAATCACTATGTCAGACCGGTTAAAGGGAGCCAGTCATTGTTCAGAAATTTGATCCCACTCGAGCTTAATTTTTATTAGCAGTGCATTGTGTGACACCAGTATAACCTTTTTATCACTAAACTCACCGCATCATCAATGCATTACAGAAAAATGTAGGTTATAGGAGGGGGTGGGGGTGGGGCAGAAATCAGGAAGTTACACGCCATAAAAATCGAAGTCATTGAGTATTTGGAGCTAAGGTACAACAATACTACTTTTGTGTTCCTTAAATGCAGCTGCACATAAAAGAACTTACACCACTTATTGTTTCTGTAGATTATAAACAAATGTTAGATACATGCTAAGCATTCATGGGGCCAATAATACGTTTCAATTTTACCAGCAAGATTGTACGAGAAATGAGTCATGAGCGATTTTATTACGTGTTTCAAATGCGTTGGCTACGTAGATACGTAGGGAAGTTCCACACTCTTTCGTGGACTTTTATTAAGGTAAAATTCATAGATGCCTTATGGAACGCAAATATTATGAGTCGGTTGTGCCTGCACCTACACGAGTAACGCAAAAAAAATCATCACGACGGCACAAATTGCAAAATTTTGTGGCATTATTATGACGCCATCATGCCATTGCATGACGTCATCTCATGCCAGCGTCGTTTGGTCAAAGGATGAGCCGATGAAGGAGATAGCGCAAAACTAGGTGAGGAGCAGAAGGCTTGCAACAGTTTCGATCCTGCAGGCGGAGCAAAAGCCATGTTTTACGTAGAATGTTTTTGCAGGGGGGCGGGGAGGAACCATACATTGACTTAGAAGAAAATTAGCACTTGTTCCGTATACGAATACAACCGATGAGCGAAGTTCCTCGGAAATGGGACGCAAACAAGTATGCATCTGACCTCGCTGCTGGCTTTACTGAAGGCGGCACGGCGGGGAGCTTTGACGGCAACGGCGACGGCAGGGGGCTATTTTAAATCTCCCGCACCCCCCAAAAACAAGAGAAGAAAACATATGGGTACATAGTTTGCGGTTTCCCAGCTGTGCCGTACGCGGCAATGCAGTCGGCGAAACTGCACATGATGACCCCCACGGATTTCTTGGCTTAATAGTCTGTCGGTTTCACCACTTTTGTACCATACAGGAAACCATTCCTAGGACAATAATCCTACTATAGCCCTTCAAAGAGGCACAATAACTCTCTTTTGATTCTCCGATGACATGTCTTCCAAAGACACTTAACGGCTTATTTAACGAGGTTCACATACGTGACATTTTGATGCCTTTGTCCTAAGTAGATATAGTTTTTTTTGGACACCTAGGATTCTAAATTGAACAACAATATGCCCACATCACGCACGTGATAAAAGACCGTCGTTGATAATTTTGACTACCCTCTTGTTTATTTATCATTATGAATTCTGAAATCGCTCCAGCTTGCATTCATTTCTCGGTAATTCCTTACCAGGACGTCCAGTGGACGTAACAAGGATGTAACCGCACTCTTTATTTCCGTGCTTATCGCCAGTGGAAGCGCTATACCTTTCCGAATCGCTTGTCGAAAATAGAAGGAGACTACGAGGTAGTTAATCACTCAACAGGTGAGGTTTCTTTCGGAACAAATCAACGACCAAGGTCAGCCACGACCGAGTAATGCTCGATCACAATAGCGAGCATGAGAAATGACGCGGACGCGCGTCTCCGTCGATGACCAGTCGCTCGTGAAAAGGTGTCGAACAAGACGTGGGTCCCATCGAGACAGGCGCGCAGCCCACTAAATTGTGCTGCTCGCCACATGGTATAAATCTCTTTCCAATGAATGGCACGGGTAGATAGGCACGTCGCAGAAAAACGCGCCCTGGAGGACGCGCTTTCTCCTCATCTTCGTTTTCTAGCCGCCGGCCGGCGGTTTCACAGGCTGTCTCCATGGCAACGGTGCCGGAGCTTTTCCTCTTCGCTCCCGTCGCGAGCTCATCCGCTCTCGACATCTCTTGTCGGCTCAGAGAAGCGCTAGTTGCGAACACGGGCGTGGGCGTCGCTACCTGACCACCGCACCGCTTCGGTCCTTCCCTCCGGCACACCTCTCTCCTATTCCGCAAAGCCGTCCCGGTTGCAGGCATCGCTAGGCACGCGCGCGCGCTCACATCAGAGCTAACGTCCCGACGCACCGGCCTGTCACGGTGGGCGCGCATGTTGCTGCATCCGCGCTTTTCGGAGCGCCGATCATCGTCCCGTTTGTTTTCGGATGTGATTAGGCGCGACGAGCAGACGCTGTCACTTCACTCCCGAAAGGGGATCTAGTCCCTCGCGTTGTCTCTGGAAGTCGACGCTCTCCATGGCGTTCGACCGTCGCGATCAACTGATCATCTGTGCCGACGCCGCCGGCTCGGCCCCACCAGCGCGGGTCAGGTAAGCCCACGGCTCACGCGCCTGTCAGTCCCCGGGTCGTGCCAGAAGACGCTGCGTGGCCTTTTTCGGGTCGTCTAGGGACGCGACACAACAGGAACAACCGGCGCCACTTTGATAATCTTGTGTTTCCGCGCGGTGACAACACGCAACAAACTCCGTGACGGCGACATGACCTCCTCGGAGACGAAGGATAACACTCCTGCCGGCTAGGACACGCTGTCCTCCGAAGGATACCGCGCCGCCCTGGGACGCGATGCGGGCCGGCCTGCTCGCCGCTGTTGTGGTCGCCGCCGGTGTGCTGTGCTGTTGTTGTTCGGGCGGACGTGTGGCGGCAGTGCCTCGCTTCCAGGGCAGCGGGTCGTCGGCCTCTTCACACGCGCAGGGCTCGGCCAACGCCACCAGGCGCCTCCTGCCACCCGAGCAGTTCTGCCAGAGCCTGGGATGCTCCTGTCACCTGGAACCGAGGCTGGCCTGCCAGCTGGAAAGCGACCGCATCGCAGCCATCCCACGACTCCTGACGCAGGAGCGCGCCGAAAAGATCACAGACATGTGAGTCATTGCACGACGTCGAGTTATGCACATATTTTTTTATTTCAGAACATTTTTATTTTACGTTCGTGCTGTAATATTGTCGCATGTCTTTGGTTTATTTGTTTCGTATTTTTTTTTATTTCCCTTCTTTCTATTCTCAAACTTTCTTGCCTCCTACACAAATAGTAGGAAGGCGCATGACCGTGTGGCCTCCGCCATCTCTGTATTTTCTCCGTACGTTTTAAGTTTGTTACTTGCCTCAATTATTTCATTTCCATCGAAATTCGACCCCCGCGGACGCTATCGAACCGCGACCTTCTGGTCTGCCATGATAGTGATTCTTACTACAGTTGGTTATATATATATATATATATATATATATATATATATATATATATATATATATATATATATATATATATATATATATATATATATATATATATATGCGTGCGTGTGCGTGTGCGTGTGCGTGTGCGTGTGCGTGTGTGTGTGTGTGTGAAAAGTGTACTTGGTGACTGAGAGTGCGTAGACGCTGGGGGTGGCTAGCACCACTGTGCACCTCCCCTTTAGAACTTCTTCGCCATATCATCATCCCCACATTACCAGGTAAATAAATGAGTCCTAACACTCACGTGCTTAGCCGTGCTCACGGGACATACTTTTTCGAACTGGTAGAATATTAAGAAGACGTATTATTTATCTGTTGCACTTTAGTCCCGTCAATGAGGCTAGTAATTAACGACGGCTACATCTTTGACGAGACACTTATCCAGAAGGGAAATAAACGAAACAAGACGAAAACGTTCCATCGGTAGCCCGATGAAAGCGAATACTTAGAAAGGTGGTAGTGCGGCTCCGAAAATGAGGTCAAGAAGCGACACGTGTCATCGCACGAAGCCTGTTGAACACCGTGCTCTATGGTGTCATATATACTATAACTTGGGCACGCGCGACCGTGAAACCTGAATAGCCTACGTCATCTCACAGTATATTTAGGTACGCTACGTGCATGTCCAAGCTACGGTTCACGCAGATGTTCCACCGAGGCTGCAAATATAATATAATATAATATAATATAATATAATAAGTATATGCTGCCGAGTTACGTTGAACGTCTCGCTCACAATGCATGGTTCATAGGCGTATGTTTGCGTAAGCGTGTGTCCCCTTTCAATAGGTTAACTTATGAATTGATTGATTGATTGATTGATTGATTGATACGTGGGGTTTAACGTCTTGAAACCACCATATGATAATGAGAGACGCCGTAGTGGAGGGCTCCGGAAATTTCGACCACCTGGGGTTCTTTAACGTGCGCCCAAATCTGAGTACACGGGCCTACAACATTTCCGCCTCCATCGGAAATGCAGCCGCCGCAGCCGGGATTCGAACCCGCGACCTGCGGGTCAGAAGCCGAGTACCTTAGCCACTAGACCACCTCGGCGGGGCGTTAACCTATGAAAGTATTATTATTATTATTATTATTATTATTATTATTATTATTATTATTATTATTATTATTATTTATTATTATTATTATTATTATTATTATTATCACGGCGTTTTCTAGACGAAGTGCAGCATGCCAAACGTCCTAGCACGACGCAACAAGGACGTGAAGCAGTTTATTAAAACTATTGCTGCGCTCTTGTGGTGATGTTATTGTTGTACACTCCAAGAGTCAAACGCACGAAGACAAATTTGTAGAGTCTTATAAGCACCGCGCACGTGTTAGAAAGAGACTGGCTGCAGAGAGCTGAAGTTGGAGCCCTGACACGCGGCCATCTTTGCATGTGTCTACGCAGTCGCTGCGTGGAAGCTACTGAAAACAGCAACGCAAAACCGCTGAGGCTTTGCTTGAATGTTGGGGATTTACTCACAATGATTGTTGGGGTTTCTCTAAAACGACGATGTGTGTTCATGAAGGACGCCTTAGTGGAGGGTTTGGGAAATTTCGACCATTGAATGTCCTTTAACGTGAGACTTTAATCAACGTACACGGGCCTTTAGCATTTCGCTTTCACGAAAATGCGGTCGCAGCGGCCATGATTCGATCCGGCAACCTTTGATTTCGGCATCGAGCGCCATAATCATCAGACGACCATGGCCGGTCCCCACACGCATTGCTCACTGATCGCTATCTCGTCTGGAATTATCGGCAAATTGTGCAAAGCAAGGCATCAACAGACAGACCAGTGCGTTCCGGAGGCGAGTAGTAAGCGCCACGTTATCACCTTCTGAAAGCAGACATTTAAAGGGACACAGCGTAGACTTGGGCGCGTTGGTTATACATTTCACTATTTTAGTGCACTTTATACCAACAAGGCGTAGGACAGACGGTGTCCGGGTAGTTATTCTGTCGCCAGTCTTGTTCGTAAACAGCGAGCTAAGAAAAAGTGAAATTTAGCGGCCCATGCGAGTCTCTCCAACCAGCGTAGACCGGCTGCGGCAGGCGTCACTGATAGCCATGCGGAGGCCGAGACTGTGCGGCCGCTGGGTATACTGTCTAACGCGGAAAACAAAGGTCTGCCTGTAGCTGATACAAAAGTCTCGCACATTTATCAGCGGTCTCGGAAAAGCCTGAAACGGACACAAAACAGGGCGCATTCCATTCCCAGCTTTCACTTCAGCGCTGGCGCGCCCTTGCATGTATACACTTCAGTGCGACGCCCCACACAGAAATCGAAAGCAAACTTGGTTCCACGTTGGCGCAATTTCAAAGCCACGAGAAATAATAGCGCGTAGTTGTGAGTGTCGCTCGCATTTATTCCAAAAAAAAAAAGAAAACTAATTGGGGGACTCTTGAGGTTCGCCTTCAAAAGTAGAACGCGATAGCGTAATTGTTCTCCTTCCGCACGACCTTCTCAACTGATAGCCTATAGCATCGTTTTTCAGTGGTTACCTGAACTGAGCTGCAAGGAAAGGAACTTCTGTTCTCGTGTGAGTTGGCCGTTTCAAACCATCCTACAATGCCTACTGCGGGTGTTGTTAGGAAGTGCCCGACCGCCATCATTCATCGTTTAACCGATTGGCAAATTACCCACCACGCGCGTCTGCACATCTGACCACATTATTGAGGGTATTGATGCTGCTGATGATGGCGATCAACAATATCTGAGCTACTGGTCATGGATAGGCTCTCAAACAACCCACCAGTTGCGCGATTCGTATGTTTTGACGCCTGGTGCATAGAGTTTCCTATAATTAACTAGAGAAGACTCTGTCGCTGCGATCGTTCATCGACCATGGGAATGATGGGTAGTACACACATTTGCCTAGTCTTCGTACTTGCGGGCGGCGAATCGTACTTGCGGCTTCGTTTATTGCGGTGTTTCGGTTTTGTTTTGAAAGAAAGATTTAACCCTTTTCAACTTCGTGACCCTACTTTGAAAGGTAAGTCTAAAATAATAAAATCGTGAAGCGCAACCCCTGAACACTCGCTGATTTTGGTTTCGTGGGAAAACAGCTCCAAGCCACACGAACACACTCGGAGCCAAAAGCAGGCCAGAAGTACGAAGATTACACAAATGTGTGTACTACCCATCATTTCCAAGCTCGCTGAAGCGCCGTGCATGCGTTTCAGCTCCCATAGACACTAGCGCCAGAGTTCCCTCTAGTGTACATTAGTGTACTATGGCCTGGTGAACTCGTGCGCTTCTGCCAAGCACTATTAGATGCGTTCAGGGGGCTCCTCACTTATCGTCACATTAGTGTATAAGTCATTATGTGTTTATGTTTTTCGAAATGGTTTCAGGCACTAGTGTGCGATAGGAGAAAACTGAACATACTAGTTCTCTGCGTGTGTCTTGAATTACTCTAATGATAAAGTTGAATAAATACCATTAAATGAAAAAAATATAGTGGCGTGCCCATACGGGAAAACACCTTCTTGCCACGCAGGTGGCCTGAGTTCGGTTCCCACTCGAATCAAATCTTCTTTTATTTTTTTTTTATTTTTTGCAACTACATCGATTCTTAGCTCACGGACAATGCTGATCTTTAGCTCATAACCAACGAAGCCGACGCTGAATCACATATTTCTGCAAAACGAGCTCCTAAACATTACTGCGTTATTACGCACAACGCCGATCAAATAAGACGACGATGCAAACCTTATTATAGCGAAAGACTGTTTTCAGCTGCGTTTGATAAGGAGTTATCTGGTGGAACTGATGAATTCTACTTTTATGGCAATTTATGCGATCAGGTAAACAGACGACTGAACTAGTGGAACGCAACGCAAAGAAAAACGTTAGTATTTTTAATATTAAAACACCTAACAATTAGGCTACATGCACTTCATAAATCCATGTAATCACTTCCTATGTACTCTATAATGCCATATTTAAAAGTCTCAAACGCAGAAAAAGAATAAAACGCACACGAACAAAAAAAATTGAGCGCTTGCTAACCTACCACGCAGAACAGTAGACAACTATAAACCCCTTATATTGAGGCTGCGTAAACACAACCATTGTATATAGCTTGCAATGAAACACTGGCTGAGCGAGCTTAATATATCCTATGGGTTTTTTCGTCAGTATAACCCAGACAATAAGCGCTATATTTATTGCAGAGAATCGAATGCGCCTTCTATAGCGTCGCACATAATTTAGCGTAGAAAAAAAAAAAGCTCCTCCGGAATGTTACCTTGTTTCGTTGGCGATCCAGACATTCCGCGATGATATTGCCTGGCTGAAAAACATGTTTTGAGCTTCTGATTTACGTTTCGTTGGCGCAAATGTGAGCATTCCCCATTCTGCTTTGATGTTGAAGGTGGTTTATCAACGTGTTGATAACATCCGTTGAGTGTCTGCTTCGTTGCTGTCTTTCACGCTAGCCAAAATTAGCAACCTTTCTTTTTTGTACACATCGTGCACACGCCTGCCAGACCTAATTACATACATTTTTTTGTTTGTTTCAAGGGCATGTTCATAAACCGCGCTTGTTTGACTTTCTTCAGCGTGTAATTTTTTTTAAGATGTGGGATTTAACGTCCCAAAACTACGATATGA